GGGGCCAGATTTCTTCATGTTGAGAATAATGTGAAAAGAAAGTATTTGCTTGGGTCTCTTGGCTCTTGAACTAGAAATAGTTTTGGGTTAAAGGTAGCAGTGGGGTTTGATTCAGCTGAACAAATAGGTGTTCCTGAACTATTTGCCATAAATTAGATAAAATGGAAGTGTTTCTTCTATTTTATCTCCTGTGCTTTGTGGAAAGTTCTAATTTGGTTTTGTGAACGAATGTCTGAAATGTTTTCTGTTTCTTCAGACTCTATGCTTTGGGAACAGCGGGTCACAGAGAGGGTCTGAGTTGGGAATATATGGGTTAGAGAGAAAATAGAGGACTGCTGATTAGAAGAACAGGTGTTTAGTTTGATTTTTATAGATATTTTCCACTGGTTGTTTCTTTAACAACATTGAAGTGTGCTTTATAAGGTGCAAAATGTGATTTTACGTAGCTTATAGTTGATCCCTTCCTTATTTATCTCAGAAAATCTGTAGGATTGTGTCTATTAAATTGTTTTTGTGTGTGTGGTTTAAACCAAGGGAGTATTTTAGATCTACATTTTTGGGTAAGTGGTTTTATTGGGGAAAAAAAATGCTTGATGGAACTAATGGTGATTGTTTCACTTAAACTGGGATTATATAGACAATGCTTTTTCCTCCCTCTTTCTGCCAACATTTGTTTTTGTTTCTCCCTCAATTTCAGGGTTTCGTTTCTAGAAATCTGGGCTGGAAACAGAAGCAGCAGTTTGTATAATCCCAAGATCTTGCTTATGCCAGGAAGCTGTAAGGGTGACATGAAGTGGGTGTGATGTAAAGACACTGCTACTACTTCAGACATTTAACTGTTGAGGGAGTCTAAGGTCAAACTTTAATTTTTGTTGAATTTCCTGTTTTCTGTGTATGTGTTAATCTTTTGGTGGGCAGAAGATCGAGTTGCTATGGTGCTAACTGGTGTATATTGTGAAAGTGCTGGCGACATTTCATGCTTTTACTCTATAGGGAAGGGTGGTAAACAAGCCTAAATAATTTAAAGATGTTCTCAGAATGGAATGTTCTCTGCATGTCCTCTTGATCCTGCTAATCCCGTGAGCAGTCCTCACAAGGACTAAATGTTGAGTAAGTGATGAGGGTGGTATAGAGGTGCTGAAAGGTGGAGTGGTGGAGAGAGGGTATTGAGCATTTCTTGAAATTCTTTTCCCTATTGAACTGTATACCAGCCTAATTTATAATTGTTTTTCAAGGACGTTTTAGTTCTCCCTGCTTGATTGCCATCTATTTCATAGACCTTTGCTTAGATACTACCTGTTTTGTACTTTAATTTGTCTTTTTTGCTGCATCTCCTAAGGATCCCGCATTTTTTGAATGTTATGTTGCATATCTTATGGAGTTGGGTGGCCTTAAGCCATGTGGCTTAACATCGTTTTCATTTTAGGGCATGTATGGGAGGTCAGTACAAGCTCATAACACAGAGTAGAATCTAAGTCATGCAGCATAGGGGAGCCCCGGGATTCTCAGGATTGTTTTGGCAGTGGTTTTTGCCTTCTAAATATGATTATAACAAATTCTCCGAGGACCATCAGCTGCTTTCCTGGCAGAGGTCCAAAAATGTTTTGGAGGGTTCCATTTTGCGTTACTTGCACGTGCTGGATGCTGTGGTGGGTGTGGGATCAGGTGAAATCCATGTGTTTCAGGAGTTGGATGTCGGAACACTATCTGATCTGGGCTGCAGAACCAAATACATTTCTCCCTATGTATAACTTTACTATCCTTTTGGGAAGATGAGACTGTAGAAAAGGACTTTTTAAAATTGCTTCTTTCCCAGATTAACCAGTAGTTTAGCTGTTGATGATTGGTGACTAAGGACAGGCCTCTGTTCTAAACATTGAAGATGAGATCTAGTCCAGGCATCCCCAAACTATGGCCCATGGGCTGCATGCGGCCCCCTGAGGCCATTTATCTGCCCCCCCGCCGCACTTCAGGAAGGGGCACCTCTTTCATTGGTGGTCAGTGAGAGGAGCACAGTATGTGGCGGCTCTCCAACGGTCTGAGGGACAGTGAACTGGCCCCCTGTGTAAAAAGTTTGGGGACGCCTGGTCTAGTCATTTAAAAGCTTCCCTTTTCTTTCTGTTTTAGTTAGAAATTGTGCCTTTCAACACTTGGTATCAGAGGTCATAAAATGGCCTAGTGGCAACTAGGTACCATTCTTGGTTGCTTAATTTCATAAGAAGATGCAGATTTGTTTTTGTAGCTTAGTTCTGGAAAATGGTTTGTGGACATAGTATTTGGATTAATGTAGAGTACAGAAATGATTGTTATATATATATCTCCAGGATACATGGCTGAATAGGGAAATTATTATAAAACATTGGTATTAACATATAAGTCCAATTCCGTAAGTTCAAGTAAAGTGAGTTGTATCCATGCTTCTTCCCATAACCTCATCTGCAACACAGAATTTTTGAGGCTCCTTGGAGTGATAGGCTTTTAGAAAGGCATAATATGGTTATCACATTTGAAAAATAAGTAGCTTATGCCAAAATAGAAGCTCTAGTCACTCGAGGAGTTCAGTCATCACCCTCATCTTAGATATATTTTGTTCTTACCGCTTTCTGGGAGTATGTTTTAGTGTGTGGAGGGCAGGGATGTTTGGTTTGACTGAATAGCACTGACCTGACCATTAAGCACAGACAGGCCAGACTCATAAAAATAGGTGCAAGCACAGAAGCCAAATGCACCCATTATCAGGACCAGACTTCTAATTGCACTGGATTATCCAGTTTTTCTAGAGTGATGCTTCATTTTTGCCCTTTCAGCTTATAATTGTGAGGCAATTTTAAAGCTTGTTTTAGAAATGGAGCTCTGACTTCAGATGGACAGAGGTGTCCTGACTCTTCCAGATACTGAGTTGATGTAGCCTTGAGCTATTTAAGCACACTAAACTTCAGTTTTTATATTTAAAATTGAAGAACATACTTGTCCTCATATTGTAATCTTTAAATTCTCCTTTTTCAGTTACTCTGGGAAAGGTATTCTCTCTGGTCATGCAGATGGTACCATTGTTAGGTATTTCTTTGATGATGAAGGCTCTGGAGAGTCACAGGTATGAACAGAGAATGATGTGGGAGGCTGACCTGGGTAAGTCCCTTGAGTCCAGGAGTTTGAGACCAGTCTGGGCAACACAGTGAAACCCTGTCTCTATCGGAAAAAAGAAAGAAAGAAAGAAAGAAAATATATATATATATATACACACACACATATATATATAAATAAATTAGTCAGGTATGGTGGCGTGGTCCTGTAGTCCCAGCTACTTAGGAAGCTGAAGTGGAAGGACCATTTGAGTCCAGGAGGTTGAGGCTGCAGTGAGCTGAAATAGCACCACTGCACTGCAGCCTGGGTGACAGAAAAAAACCCTGTTTCCAAAAAAGGATATGGTGGGATAGGGAATAAGGACATTCCAGGAACCCTCCTAGAGGAGGCTGGACTTCTAAGGCATTGGGGTTGAGGTACAGGGAGGAGGCTAGAGGAATGAGGCCTCAGGGACAGAGAAAAAGTTGGATGTGGCCACCAAGAGGATTTGTGTTTAGGAGGCTGGAGCTGACTGCTTATAAGAAGGGATGGCTCAGGCGCAAGGGACCTTGAGACAAAAGGAAGTGAAAACTCTTAGGGGAATGAAAAGTGAAAATTATTCCTATTTACATAAAATATATATAATATATATTTATGTATGTGAATTTATAGAGAAAAGGGTTAACAGTTACTCTGGAGAGGGGAGAGGAAAAAGGGCATAAAAAGGAAACTTTCATGTTTTACTCCATAGAATTCTGTGTTGTTTGAATTATTTATATTAAGAATTACTTGTAGGCCGAGCATGGTGGCATACGCTTGTAATTCCAGCACTATGGGAGACCAAGGCAGGTTGATCACCTGAGGTCAAAAGTTTGAGACCAGCCTGACTAACAAAGGTGAAACCCCATCTCTACTAAATACAAAAAATTAGCTGGTGTGGTGGCACATGCCTGTAATCCCAGCTATTTGGGAGGCTGAGGCAAGAGAATCACTTCAACCTGGGAGGCAGAGGTTGCACTGAGCCAATATGGTGCCATTGCACTCTAACCTGGGCAACAAGAGCAAAACTCCATATCAAAATAATAGTAATAATAATTTCTTATATAGGCCGGGCACGGTGGTTCACTCCTGTAAGCCCAGCATGTTGGGAGGCCGAGGCAGGTGGATCACCTGAGGTCAGGAGTTCGAGACCAGCCTGGCCCACATGGTAAAACCCTGTTTCTACTAAAAATACAAAAATTAGCCTGGTATGGTGGCATGCACCTGGAATCCCAGCTACTCTGGAGGCTAAGGCAGGAGAATCACTTGAACCTGGCAGGCAGAGGTTGCTATGAGCTGAGATTGTGCCATTGTACTCCAGCCTGGGCAACAGAGTGAGACTCTATGTCAAAAAAACAAAAAAACAACAACAACAAAACCAAAAAAACAAGACTTGTATAATAATTAAATTTAACCCTCCTTAGAAAAAGAGGAGGGTTAAATTTAATTATTTAAAATTAAAAAATTATTTAAAATTAAAATTATTTAAAATTAAAAAGGCCCACCTCTTTGTGGGCCTAGACAGTGTTAGTTAACGTGTAGGACATCTCCTTTTCAGAGGAGCTTTACCAGGTGCATATTAAAAATTTCCAATACACAAGCATTTTGAGGTTTTCTAGAGAACAAGGTCAACAAGCATCTGTATAGGTGTGTGTGTGTGTGTGACAGTTTGTGAAGAGTTCAGGGTTAGGAAGTGTTGGGATGGGAAAATGTTGGGAGAAAGACTTCTGCAGGGTAGGATGGTCAGAGTGAATGTATCAGGTATTGAGAGTGAGAAATTATTTCTGGGGTGGAGTCTTCAGAGACTGATTGAAACTCTCTACTTCTGTCTGTCTTAGGGGAAGTTGGTTAACCACCCATGTTCACCCTATGCCTTGGCATGGGCAACCAATAGCATCATGGCTGCAGGCTGTGACAGGAGGATTATAGCCTATGGAAAAGAAGTGCACGTGCTACAAACTTTTGATTATAGCCGTGACCCTCAGGAGTTGGAGTTCACCACAGCTGCAGCAAGTCCTGGCGGCCAGTCTGTTGTGCTAGGAAGCTATGACAGGTGAGTCCCCTTTCCAGTTTTATCTTAGGCCTGCTTTCCCCGTGAACATTCCCTGCTTTATGCTTTAGCCAAATTATTCTGAGCCAGAGTGGGAGACTGGACCAAAATCGAGTGTCTGTTGAAAGAGACTCTCAGATTGTAATTCATGCGCCTTCCTCGTCCTGTTCTCCCCATCCATGGGTGTGCAGGCAGTTCCAGATGGCCTGTGCTCTTATTTTGTCTCTGTGCCTCTCCCTGCGCTTCCACAGCAGAATTCATCTCTATTTTCTGTTTCCATTGCCCGCTTTGAGACTGCTTAGAGTTTCTCACATCGTATTACAGTTTGTTGTTTGCATCTGTCTGGCTAAATCAGCGTCCTTAAGACGGGGGCTTATTATTCATCCTTTTATCTCCAGTGCCTAGATTAGCATCTGTATGCTGTATATATTAAAGATATGCTCAGATGTTTGGCGAATGAGTGAATGAATGGTGGAGCGGCAGATAAACGGCCATGTCCCAGGTCTCATCACTTCTCTGGCATGTGTTTAACCCCAGCTTTGTCAGTCCTGTCTTTCTATCCCCTTCAATCTTATGTCTCCTGGTGTTCTGTTCTTTCTTCACTGCCTCCTACCATTTATCTCCTTGTTCCATATTTTTTTGCTCCTGATAGCTCATTTTTCTCACCTGCACTGATCTTTTTGTTTTTCTGCTCCCCTCACTCTTATTCTGTTTTAGTTTGGCCTTGATTTTCCCAGCTTACTTCCTGTGCACCGCTGTGTCCTCTCCTGCTAGACTGCCTAGCTTGTGTGTGCTTTTTATTTCCTTTCTTTTCTGTTAGAGCAAGACTAATTTCCTTTGGTTATCAGCCCATTTGCACATTTCAGCTCAGCCTCGATCTCTTCTAAAAGCCACATACTTTATTTCAGGCTTCGGGTGTTCAACCGGAGCCCTCAAAGAAGCATCTGGGAAGAGGCAAAGCCCAAGGAGATTGCCAATTTGTACACCATCACTGCCTTGGCCTGGAAGCGGGATGGCTCACGGCTCTGTGTGGTGTGTTACTAGTAATCCCTTTCTGGATCAGTGACTCACCAAATTAGAAAAAAAATCCTTTCTTATCCTAAAGCACTCTCCCCTGACGCTAGAGAATCTCCTCTTCCCTTTTGACCCTAACCTAAAATTCTGGGGTTAAACGCAGGAAGGAGAAATTCATACTTTATTGGAGGTCACAAAAGGGACAAAGAATTGTGTATAGGCAGGGCTAGTTTCTCCCTTTTATCCTATTAATATGTGGTGCCCTTGAGTCCAATGATTGTAGCCGGTTTCCTTTTGGTACTTTAAAAACTTCCAGCTCTTTTACTGCCAACCATTCTCTGGACTCTAGAACCTAGGTGCTGAGAATGTCTGTGGATACTCTCCCCATGCCAGTGTACTATATGTGTGACCTTTAATGCTGTCACTTTCTCTTCTAGGGCACACTGTGTGGTGGGGTGGAACAGTTTGACTGCTGCCTCCGAAGGAGCATTTACAAGAACAAGTTTGAGCTGACGTATGTGGGACCTAGCCAGGTAAGCAGGATGGTAGCCTACTGCACCGAGACCTTGCAAGGCTCATTCACCTGATACATATCTAACATTTCCCTGCCTTCTGGCCACAGCCATAGCATCAAATTTAATCTTTGTCCCTCTGGAAGAGCTGTTCTGGGCAACAGAATGTGTCAGGGCAACACCCTGGTATCTTTTCTGCTGTGGTTCCTGCAGCTTATTGTAAGAAAACTTTTAAGCACCAGGCTTAAGATGTGCAGAGATTGCCACTTACGCCTTCCTGGTTTAAAACTTTACTGCCGGGCCGGGCGCGGTGGCTCAAGCCTGTAATCCCAGCACTTTGGGAGGCCGAGGCGGGTGGATCACGAGGTCAAGAGATCGAGACCATCCTGGTCAACATGGTGAAACCCCGTCTCTACTAAAAATACAAAAAGTTAGCTGGGCGTGGTGGTGCGTGCCTGTAATCCCAGCTACTCAGGAGGCTGAGGCAGGAGAATTGCCTGAACCCAGGAGGCGGAGGTTGCAGTGAGCCGAGATCGCGCCATTACACTCCAGCCTGGGTAACAAGAGCGAAACTCTGTCTCAAAAAACAAAAAACAAACAAAAAAAAACTTTACTGCCTACACACTGTCAAAGGGGCAATTTGATAAACAGGATTATAAATATGAACTCTGTTGTTTTAAGGCCTCTGAGCTCACTTATTTGATGTTGCCAGCTAATTTCTCAGTTCCTGAGCCCACTTTTCTCCTTTTTCTACCTCTGTCCTTTCATTTATTATACATTGGTTTCTTCATTCTTTTTTTCTTTCCAGAAACATGTATTTATTCTCTACTATGTGTCAGCAGTGTTAGGCATTGGGATTACACAGATAACTATCTGTAAGACATTGTCCCTTGGATCAAGGAGATAATTATAACAGAGGACATAGACATATCAAACAATAATATTAGCCAGATGCAGTGGCACATGTCTGTAGTCTCAGCTACTCAGGAAGTGGAGGCAGGAGGATTGCTTGAACCCAGGAGTTCAAGGCCAGCCTAAGCAACATAGTGAGACCCTGTCAGTCAGTCAATCAGTTGATCAGTACGTACACTGTGATCAGTGATATATAAGGTTTGTACCAAGACTGAAAACATAGAGTGATTGGTTTTACCCAGCAGAACTTTCAGAATTACGTAAATTTTAAGCATCAAAAGAGCTAATAGAGGAAAGCATTTCGTAAATAGTAAATCCCCATATAAATGTAAGGTATCATTACTGTCAACAATATCCAAGGCCCAAGGAGGAACAAGATAGTAGCTTTGTTTAGACTGTGGAGGCGGGCAAAGGGTCTGATTATTCACCCTTCTTTTGGGCTGGGGAAGCCTAAGGGGCTCAGACTTGTTCTTTACCAAGGTGATTGTAAAAAACTTGTCATCGGGAACCCCAGTGGTGCTCAAGTCGCACTATGGCTATGAGGTGGAAGAGGTGAAAATCCTGGGAAAGGAACGTTACTTGGTGGCCCACACATCAGACACACTGCTGCTGGGGGACCTGAACACTAATCGCCTTAGTGAGGTAGGAACCAAAATTGAGGGTAGGGTGGGGAATGGGATATCTTGGCTTAAAACTTGTGGAGACCCAAAATCCCTAGGGGTAAGATCTCCATGAGAAGGTTCAACATTCTGGTATAGGGGACCTTGTTTCAGGGAAGGAGACCCAGGAGGTTTATAATTCCAGAGTATGAATCATCATCTTTGGACTGTTTTGATGCTGTCTCTCAGAAACATCTCTCTGGTTCCTCTGAGGGACCAGAGCAAATTCTGATACAGTACCTCTTTTGTGTAGTGCCAAAGACTCCCTAACTATGATCTTTCTGCTGCCCAACCTGTCATTCTTTTGGCGTTATCCTGGGTAATTATTCACATTGCCTCTTAAGTCTTCCGCTTTACAGATAGCCTGGCAGGGGTCTGGTGGCAATGAGAAGTATTTCTTTGAAAATGAGAATGTGAGTAGAGCTTGATTCACCATCACCATCTCCATAAGCCTCCTTCTAGCTTCTGTGTCATAAAGATGGCAAGTTGCAAGGGATAGGGAAACAGCAGATCTCCCAAGCTGATTTCTCGTAGTGTTCAGCCCCATGATTCCTAGCTTTCCAGCCATCCCTAGTTTCCTTTACCCTGCCCACCCCACCTCTACCCTCCAGTCAGACCATTTCAGAATAGTTAAACCTCAAACCTTTAAGCTCCATGAAGTGTTTTACCTTCCCAAGTCTTTTATTTTCTACATCCTTCTGGCCTTCCAATCTCAGCCCTCACAGACAGAACCACAGCATCTCCAGAAAAACTAGAACCTCCTTTTTCCCCACAGGGTGGAGAAGGGACAGACTTTTATCAGGTCCGAGCACGTCTAGCCATGCTGGAAAAGAACTACAAACTGGCCGAAATGATCCTTTTGGAACAGGTAACAGGAACAGAGGGACAGGATGCAGGGGGGATATGAAGGAAAAAAACAGAAAAAAGGGTGCAAACTCAACGGAGGAAAGTGTGCTGGTGAGCTAGGCTTCCAAATGTTTGGGGAAAGCTTTCAGAGAGGTTTACATGGTTAATTTCACCCCTTCCTTTATTCGCTCCTCTTGTGTTAGTCCTTACTTTTCTAGACAAACTTCCTTCTTTGGCCTTTGATTACTTCTTTCTTTCACAAGCAGTCTGCTACCTCCCCTCTAGTCCAGAGCCTGTCTGTATTTTGCAATTCTTGTGCAGAGGGGTAGATCGAGGTTTTGTTTGTGGCTGGAAACTTAGACAATTTGAGGAGCTCTCCTTTTTTTTGAGATGGAGTTTCACTCTTGTTACCCAGGCTGGAGTGCAATGGCGTGATCTCAGCTCACCGCAACCTCTGCCTCCTAGGTTCAAGCAATTCTCCTGCCTCAGCCTCCCGAGTAGCTGGGACTACAGGCATGTGCCACCATGCCCAGCTAATTTTTGTATTTTTAGTAGAGACGGGGTTTCACCATGTTGACCAGAATGGTCTTGATCTCTTGACCTCGTGATCCACCTGCCTCGGCCTCCCAAAGTGCTGGGATTACAGGTGTTAGCCACCACACCCGGCCTGAGGAGCTCTCTTTAAGAACAGTTGCCTTAGGCTGGGTGTGGTGGCTCATGCTGGTAATCCCAGCACTTTGGGAGTCTGAAGCAGGTAGATCACATGAGGGCAGGAATTCAAGACCAGCCTGGCCAACATGGTAAAACCCTGTCTCTACTTAAAAAAAAAAAAAAAAAAAAGAAACATTAGCCAGATATGGTGGCACACGCCTGTATGTAATCCCAGCTACTTGGGAGGCTGAGGCAGGAGAATCACTTGAGACTAGGAAGTGGAGGTTGCAGTGAGCAGCGATCGCACCCCTGCCTTCCAGCCTGGGCGAAAGAGTGAGACTACCTCTCAAAAACAAAGAACAGTTGCCTTGGAAAGGGCCTGTGCTAATAAGGAGCCCTGAAGCTTAAGCTTTTTTTAGTTTCCCAGTATTTTTGCTGGTATAGTAGTTAAATAAGGTAAGGTTTTTAGTCCCCATATGCTGGCATCTTAGCCAGGCTGAGGAGAACTTGCTGCTTTTTGATCCTCATATTCTTCTGTCATCCTGTCTGCTCTGCCCGTTTCCCCAAGAACGTTGTGGAGCAGGCCATGGGCATGTGCCAGCAGCTACAACATTGGGATGAGTATATCGTTGTGGCTGAAGCCAAGGTACCTGTTTCAGAATTTGGTTCTGCCAATTTCAAAACCTTCTTTTGTCAAGGAGGCCATAGAAACCAGAACAGGGGCTTGGACTTGATGTGGTGAGGAGTTAGGATACTGCTGACCCAGGAGGATTTCCCTTGTTACAGAGGGATTGGAGACGCATGGGAGGCACAAGGGTAGGAAGGGTTGTGATTTCTAGTTCTCTGCGCATGTCCAGGGGCACCCAGCTCTGGAGAATCTATGCTGGAGTTATTACCAGTGGCTGATGGACACACAGCAGGAGCAGCGAGCAGATGAACTACAGGAGAGCCAAGGAGATGGGCTAGCAGCCATCAGCCTCTACCTCAAAGCTGGGCTCCCTGCCAAAGCTGCTTGGCTGGTGCTGTCCCGAGAGGAACTGCTAGCCAACACAGAGCTGGTAGAACACATCACTGCAGCCCTTATCAAGGGGGAACTCTACGAAAGGGTATGCTCACTTCCTCTTCCTAGCCCTTATCTCCAGAGCTCAGGACCCTTCTCTCATCCAGAGTCGTCTCAGGGCACAGAGAGCTTCCTGACTGCTGGTGTTCCCTTACTTTTGGAGCAAATACTTGATTCTTTGTGTTATAGGGGTACCATAGTAATGTGGTATGTGTTAACAGGCAGATGATCTCTTTGAGAAGATTCACAATCCACAGCAGGCCCTGGAGTGCTACCGTAAAGGGAATGCATTCATGAAAGGTACTAGCCCCCTATAAGCCGTGTTTTATTGTTATGGACCCTTGCCCATCCGTCTCCCCGGCACCTCTTGGTGCGTGTGTTCAGGTTGCCCGGCTCCAGTTCTCCATTCTTCCCCTTCTCACCCCATGCTTCATCTCCCTGTCCTTTTTCCTGAGGTCCATCCATGGAAGTCTGGGCTGAGCACCTTTTCTCTCCCTGACAGCGGTAGAGCTGGCTCGATTGGCCTTCCCAGTGGAGGTGGTGAAACTAGAGGAGGCATGGGGGGACCACCTGGTGCAGCAGAAGCAGCTTGATGCAGCCATTAATCACTACATCGAAGCCAGGTATGGGAGTATGGGAGTGTAAAGGACATTTGGGTGTGAAGTGAGGGGCAGTGGAGCCAGTAAGGACACCGAGGCCAAAAAGAAGAGATCTCAAAATGTGGGTGGAAGTGTGCTTAAGGGGTCCCATGACCTCCATTCATCTTCATCTTTCAGCCTACATATTTATATCTGTCCCAGCTTTGCCAGGTGCTCCATTAAGGCAATTGAGGCCGCCCTGGGTGCCCGCCAGTGGAAGAAGGCAATTTATATATTAGATCTACAGGACCGGAACACCGCGTCCAAATAGTGTCCTCTCGTGGCCCAACACTCTGCATCTCTGCAGGAGTATGAGGTGAGGGACAGTCCTTTCCGCAGCACGAAGTGGGGCAGTAGAGGATAACAGTGAGAGA